AACTACCATCACTTCCGATAGATTTGTGCATAGAAAATAGGCACTGAATTGAAATATGAAGGCGAGTGAAATCGGCAGAAAAGAAAAAGAATTGTAGTCATGTGAAGAACATATACAAATGAAACGACGTCGTTTCGATAAGAACGACGTGGCCTTCTAAAATTGCAGCAGACACGTGTCAGATAGAGGGGGCATGAGTTCTTTTTATAGATAAGATAAGAGAAAGAAGATATTATCATCAATGGTCCCAATATAGAGAAAGTTAATTATGGGGAATTTTTTAGTCCTCATATATAAATATTTTTAAATTTTTTCAATTATACCTAATGAAACTAATTTATTTATGAGATTGCATCAATAACAGTTACCATATATATTCAACTTCCATCGCCCTTTTTGTGGGCTTGATTAAGAGAGAGAAAAGAAAAATAATAACTGATTCATTTATTAATTCCTTAATTTACACAACTTGTACATTGTAATTCAAGCAGCCGTCAGGTAGTATATTTTGAGTTTATGTTAGTATATATTCAGTGTATGTTGCAATATTATAATTCACGCAGCCGCCAGGTGGTATATTTTGAGTTTATGTTAGTACATATTCAGTATATGTGCAATAAAAAACAAGTCTTCCACAAAAAAATTATATATTTTTTTTTTTTTACTTTTATACATAAAAGTATATAAAACATATTATAACATTTACTTATATTCCATATACAAACAAATCTTCTAATATGTTGAACATATATTGAACTTATACTCCAAATACACACAACATATAATGAATAATAAAAAATTACGTCTTTTTTTTTACTGGAAATATACGCAAAAATATACCGAAAAAAACGAGGACGTGAAATTTTATACCGAAAAAATTATGTCTTCTAATATACCAAAATTTTGGGGGGGAATTATTACCTGACATACACAAAAAATATACTTCAAATATACTAAAAATGTGTAACAGGTGCAGAAAGCCAGTGACAAAGTGTATAGCATAGAAAGAGAAAAGATACTTCGGATAGAGAGAAAAGTTACCTCGGATATACCCACTAGATAACCAGATAACCAGAGAAAAGTTACTTCGGATATACTCGGATATACCAAACATATAACTCAAGAAAAAAAGGAATTATTAAACAGATAACCAGAGAAAAGTTACTTCGGATATACTAGGATATACCCAACATATACACAACTCGGTTTTGTAAATATACCTTCGAATTATATACATTTCCAACGCATATGTGCAAAGGCTACAAATTCTTAAACACCCACAAAAGCTCAAAGTTGTTATTATTAAAAGCAAAATCAAATCATACAAGAAAAAAAAGGAAAGAAAAAAAGGGGCAAATTCTAGGAAACACGAGACAAATTCTTCTTGTCATCCACTCAATTTCTAAATTTATTCGCAAGCGTAATAATAGACAGTTTTTATGATTTGAGTCGTCGTGAAGAAAATGCGCCGCATAATTGCAGGGGACAAGGCTTTATCCATCCAAAAACGTCATCGTTTTGCGCGATTTTGAAGGCCGCATCAATTCGCCGTGAAGCCGGAGGCAAGTTTTCAGAAGGTCAACGGGGAAGGTCTTTGTCTCCGCCGCACCCGCCGCCAGGGACGTCGGAATGATTTTCTCGATACCACTCTGTCGCCGGCGTTCGCATTTCGATACAGTAGCCATTGACACTTGAATTGGGCGTTTACAAAATTGAGCGGTTTGAAGAATGCGGGAGACGTGGGGGCGGTGGGTTGTTTTTTGGGATGATCAATTTAACTTTTTGTTTCCTTTTTTTTTAGGTAAGTGTGTATCTAATCTCACTTAAATATCTCATTACCATTAAAAAAGTCAACAATGGTTGCATAGTGTTTAAGTATAATTGAAAATATTTTAAGCTTTTTTAGGTAATTTTAGAAATAAGACTTTAAGGGGTATAAAAGTGATATATTTTGAATGAATTAGTATTGGTTGTGTCCAATAATAATGGGAGCAGCCCAACTCATGAAGTCCATTTATTAAAGCTAGCCCAGAGCAAAATTTTTGAAGAGAATTATTGTTTATTTTTATGGGAAAATCAGAAAAAAAAAAAAAGAAAAACATTTGCCATAAATGCTAACTGCACATTACTTGTGGATGAGTGAAACACACATACACATATCTTCTCTATTCATTCGTAGCAACTAGCATCTAGCAACATAAGGACCCCCAAAATAAGTTGAATCCATCTTTAACTTTCATGCACACACACACACACACACACACACACACACACACACATACATACATATATATGCTATTATTATAGTGTACTATTAAACGTGTGTGCATGTGCCATCAATATATGAAAAAGAAAAAAAAAAAACGTGATTGGGTGCCTATAGAAAATCAATAAATATCATGAATTGGAAAATTTTATAAAAGAAAAAAGAAATGAATAAAAATACAAGTAAATTCCAAGCTATAATTTTGTACTCAATGCAAGTTTTCTCAATTAAAGGCGTAAACGAATTGAGCTAAACTCTGAGTTTGGACTCTAGTTGAGGTCGACGTCAACCAAACGAGTTTATAAACAAACTCGAACTGGTCAATTTATCAATATTAACGAGTCGAATTCAAGTTTTTAACAAGTTGATGATGAACTCGAGCTTCAACGAGTTGAGTTAAGGAATAACAAATTACATAACACCGTTATTCCAGAGTCTCAACGAGTTGGTTTCAAATCGAACCCAAGAACTAAACAAACTCTAAACAAGACGAGACGAGACGAGTTCGGGGGCATTTCGTTTCTTTTAACAACTTCATTATCGACTATGCATGCAACATTCCAACAACGGTTATCACAAATCTATTTCGCTCGTATATATGATTCAACACGTTTTGGTGCAAATGCTTCATTCAATTCAACTTTCAAGAATAGGATACACTAACTAACTGAAAATTGAAGCAAATAAGTGAATAACTTTTACACCCAGCTGCAAAAAACTTACACATTTGGTAACAGAACGTGATGTAAGCAGAGCTGCAGAAAAATTGCTGCTCTTTTACAAAACAGAACCAAAATATTGAAAAAAAAAAACCAATTCAATTTACTGCCAAGCTGTTAACTTTTTGTCATCTTTTTACGCTACGCTTGCTCGTACAACCCAACGTCCATCAGTCCTTTCGTCTGCCCATTTTCTTGTATGTATACATGTATGTATATATGGGCAGTGCTTCTCTCTCTCTCTCTCTCTCTCTCTCTCTCTCTCTCTCTCTCTCTCTCTCTCTCTCTCTCTCTCTCTCTCTCCACACTGAGTCGACTCGTGGTATATAGCTCACTCACACTAAAAGCGTTGTTGGGTAAAGGGGGGAAAAACAGGGAGATAAAGAAAGTGAGGCGAAAAAAGATTCGATTTTTATCGTATTTCTTGATTTGGGGTTCGCCATTAAGCTCTCTGAGGTCGTGTTCTTGAGCGGAAATTGAAGATATGAAGGACATTCTGCACTTTGTGATAGGGATTTTTGGTGGGTTCTTTTTTTT